TTCGTTTGCGCCCTCTGCTAAGAGCTTGCCCATTAACTTGAAAAAATATCTTCACAGACCATCGACCATTAGAGAGGAATTCGTAACTTGATTTACATTTAGATGGGAGAGAGATTTTGCGAAAAGTTGGAAAATACATAGCAAATTCCATGTTCATATATACCAATATTTTGTCGACATTTTTGCACAGTAAATTTCAAAAATTAAACAATTGAATTAAAAATTATTTCGCACGCATATTTATATTTATTTAATATTTATATTAAATCCTGTGAGCTGCCTTCATTAAAAATTATAATGCAATATAATGCAATAAGCGACATTGCTAAATAAGAAGCGCTCAGACGCATAAAATAAAACGTCAGCGCGAAAATTTTGCAATTTCCATAATCGGCAAATTAAACATTCGCCGTCATTAAATCATTGACGTAAAATATGTAAAGCAGGGTTCAAAATAAAAGTCACGTTCCACCAGTTTTATCAAACGTGAGATTTATCGCGCCCTCCATGATTATTTATGTATTTGCCATTGATATCGATACCTGCAATTAATATCGTTAAAACGCTTAAGGATTTTCTCAGCGCGCGCATATCATGTAAAAAGCTATAAATTCGCGATGAATAATTTATTCCTTCCAGGCGTTCGGGGGGAATTCGGCGGGGACAGTAATTATTACAATTGCACTTCACTCGCGCGAACGATTAATCATCGTCGAAGCGTTCATATGACTGGCGCTGTTGGAAAATCGATGACATTTTACACGCTAATCCAAAAGCTAACTATCGACTAATGTCAACTGTTGTTGATTGACACTCGCATATGTCAACTAAAAAGTGCAGAACTTCTAAAACAAATAAATACGTAGATGCATCAATGTATAACAGCACACGCAGATATGCTATCTTTACGAACATCTTGTATGTTGCATAATGCTGATTTATCCTTAATGCTTTTTCATACAATTTGAAAGTTATCGTTAATTTTATTTGATTCTTTAAAACGATGATACACAAATTCATTATCGTATTCTTAGATATTTCCTGTCAATATAACGAATTACGAAATGTTTATGAAAAATAGAAAAATTAGATTAAACCCAAGTAAATTGTTATTATTAAAATTTCTTAAAGATAATTTATATCTTAATTATATAAGCATTAATATAAACATGAAGTTTGGTGTCAAATTCTAGAATGTAAAGATAGATAATCGATAAGAGATAGATTGTATTTACTTTTTCTTAAGGCATTTCTCTTTCTAATAATTTTTATCAAATCTTTTTCGTTCCTAGATAATTATTTAATTTTGAACTAGTTCTTTGCGCGGCAATGTAACATTAAAATTTCTTGAAATTATTTCTTCTATTATTTCAATTCTTGCAAGTTTACGATTACGATGTAACATAATCGGAATTTACACAATTAGTTCTCATAATATTTTGCACGCTATTTGCACACCGCGCGTATTCGGTATAATTTCAGTAATCTACAATCGTAACGGTAACAATAATATATATACTTCATCGTTCCGATAGCCATTTCATTCGGCGACGGCAATCGATGGCCGCAGAACTGCGCTAATTAGAGCGGCTGCGGTGCGGGCCATCCGTTCGTAACGCGATATGGATAACTATCTAGCGGCCGTCGGTGACGCGGGGTTTGGGACGCGGTGGGCGGTGGTGCCCACTCGGGCACAGGGTACATCGCGCAATACGCGGGCCCCGAGACACGTGCACACATCCCGTTTATGGCACGCTAGTTAAATTTCGATACGCCGTTACGCGCGGCTCGGGATAGATGAAACATGGTGTTGTCGTTGCGTCGCCGCGCGCGGGCATAACGCGCGACAAATATTCCGCAAATAAAAGCTCGCATTCCCCTTGCTGCCCGCGTCGCCCGTTCCCCCGCCGCCCCCTCACCCACGCGTTATTTACAAAACGTCGCGCGGGGCTGGCTTGCGCGGCCGCCGGCAATTTTTAACAAGTCGAGCCGTGTACCCCACCGACGATAGCTTCCATCCAGCATGCGGGGTGCAGGGGCAGAGGGGGGTGGTCGATGTATTCGACGCGCGTTTTATTTCGTGCCACGCGCGCGCGCGCGCGCGCGCGCGCACACATGTGCGCTCTATCTCTTTCTCTCCCTCTTTTTTTCCCGTTTTTCTTTTTTTGCGCTTGTTTTACGCCACCGCTCGATTTTTTCACCTTTTTTGGTCGACGCTGGATTGCTCGGCAACTACCAATCAGGATCATCTGACAGGAAATTCCCCGCGCACCCGCCACCGTTCGCCACTTGTGTCCGCGGCGTCCCCGACGCCCCTCCGCGCCACTCATTTCTGCTTCCCTTCCTCCCTCCTACGTGCCGGGATATCCGCCGCCGCCATCGCCATACGTTCACTGACCAATTTGTTCGATAAAAGCCCTCGACTGATTGGCCTGACAACGCGGCTACGGCTCTTTTTTCCGAGCGTGAAATTTACCGTGGTAACCAGGTCCCTTGTTGCACCCGTGCCCTCCCAAATTCTTTGCCTTCGGCCTTTCAGGTTTCTCTGCCGCTACTTATAGTATCCCTTTCTTTCCCTCCGCCTTCGTCTTTTCCCTCTTTGAATTTTTGAGACAGTTTCTGTGATTCGTAGCAAGGTTTGCGAATTAGTTGGCAGCGATGCAGTTCTTCTTCCTTGTGAATAAGGTTTGCGAATAAAGGCAAAGGAGAGTCAAACGCAGAGACGCATTCAGAGTAAATCGCGAAAGTTTAATTTAAAAAAAAAAATAGTAAAATTATTTTATTGAAATATTATTTATGAAGATTGATACGGACGATCGGGAATCTTTATTTAAAGAGAGATTTCACGGAAGGATCAAACTCTATGAAATCATCTGTTTGATAAAAAGTAAATACTGTTTTGACAATATTATTCGTACGAAATTAAATATGAATAAATAACTAATTTGAGACAATTAATATTTTATTTTGCGATATCTTTGTGACATATTTTGCGTTAAAAGTCTGTTGTACCATTTGGAGAATGCTCGGAATCACGAGCATGCGAACGTCGCACCGTCGTTATCGAGATCGTAAAATTTGAGTAGTCGGCCAATATGGTCTGGTGGAGCGGTACATTAGACACGTAAACATGTACTATCTGCTCATGGCAGCGGCAATCTGTCTTTCGACGTTGCCTCTCACTTTCGAGTTAATAGCTGGTAATAGCCGTCGAGAGCTAACATAACACGACCTCCCACGCATGAGTTACCGTCGATCAACGATATCATCCAACGATTCACTCACTCACGCAAGAGATTTTGATTTTATGCACTATGCATTTCCTTTCATCCTGCAGATTCTTCGACGAATTTCAATTTTTTTAAAAAGCTTGATTGCAAGCTGTCTATTAATCAACGTTTGATATTTCACAAATTATCAAGCCGCAAATTAAATTTTTATGCAGGATAATCTATTATAAATGCAGGATATCTATTATAATTCGCTGAAGAAAATAAGATTCCGTGTTATCTTTTTCGCGCGATTTAATTCAACGAATTAAAAGACTGAACAATCGTTTCAAATTTTTGTGAAGAAATTTGTGCTAGAAAAATCGATTTTAAATATCCATTAAGGTGGACCCCTTTGCGCTTATTCTCGTGTTATCTGACTCGCTATTTGTTGCGGATCCGCGACCGGCGATAAGATTGTAATCGATATTTTTTTCAGGGATCGGCTGCCAGCTTAGGGAAGAACGTTTCATGACAATCGTTATCGATTTTAACAACTGTTATCGGCTATGTTCAATTTCTTTGCAAATTATTATCAAATCATTAATTTATCATTTTTGAAATAAGATTAATAGCTTTACCGTGAAGGTTTAATTGCCTTTTACAATGTTTCGACCTTTAGTGCTTACGAACTTATTCGTGATTGCAACAAGAATTTCAAATCCGAATTGGAAATTTCCATTTTTGAAAAAAAAATACATTTTTTTGCGTTTTTTTAATAAGTAATATGTAATATATCAGTCGTTAGAAGAATAATATTTAATATCAAACGCAAAAAAGTTTGCAGGAATACTTTATACAAAGTCCAGTTATTTTATCATGATATTCTTTACGTAAGTAGAAAAGTCTAAAAGTCTTTACTGCAATAATAACTATTTTTAACCATTTTAAACCATTTTTTAAAATATTATCTAAAACATTACTTTATTGTTATTCTTCTATATCGTTATCCCGTCTTGTACACTATTCCACTCAAGGCTCCTACAAATGATATCTTATCATAAAATAGCAGAATTTAACATCGCTTTTTATAGCGATGATAATTATTGTAATCTTTATCATATATCGCATCATTAATTGCTTGTATCGTTCTTCGGCACGGGAATCTTAATGATATTATTCAATTAATTACACACATCAGTATTTTGTCTTTGATTGATAAGTTCGGCGAACATGATTCATGCTTTTATTAGGTAATGATGCAATTCATAGCATTATGTTTATGTTATGTTAGATTTATGATCCATTTAGACTTAATATATTTTTTCATGTTCTTTAAGACCAACTATATTTTATTGGTACTAAAAAACATTATCGTATCATTAAAAGATCCTTTACAGTTAAAAGATATAATTAAGACGATATTAATTCTTATTACAATCCAAATTATCTTTAAAATTTTATTGCGTTATACTTAACAAAATTAATTTGTATTACAATGAAGATTATCCTCAAAATTTGTTGATATTATCTTGATATTTTTAGATATATTCGTGACAGATTAATGCTATCGGTATGCTCTCAGATATGACGAGATTTTTATAAAATGGCAATAAAATCAAACAAAATCCTTGTGTTACTTCTACGAAATGCATTTTTCCGTCCAATACATTTAAACGATAGCTATCAAGAGTTGCAACGATTCATCAGTATCAACGCGCAGTCAATATCAAGATATACGAAACAACCGTCGTAATTAATCAGAAATTGATCATGTCAAAATCCACTCACCGGCCAAATCTGCGGGCAGTCTGGGATACAACATGCCGGTCCGGGCGAACCACTCGAGCTGGAGTGGATGGATATGATGCTGTTGAGGATGAGGCCCTCCGGATTGGGGATGACCAACCGGTTGACCCTCCTTGTGTATCGAGTGGAAAGCGCTGCCGCCGGCTGGATGATAGTACAGTCCTCCAGGATGGATGAGCGATCCCGCGGGATGAAGTAGGAGACTCTGATTTTGTCTGACCACCGCTGCGCCCATGCCGTAAGGCCCGGATGCCAGACTCTGATGGCTCAGGACACCGTTGCTGGACGGATCTTCGGAACCCGGCGATATCGGGGGACTGGAAGCGGGACTGCGGCTCGCGTTGCTCCCAGGACTGGCGCTTCCGGTTCGCGTCGGGTCAACGTCTACGGACGTGTCGTCTTCTACGTTCTCCAGCCGATCGTTTCGGTAACCGCTGGTCCCCGTTTCGGGCCTGAACTGACTCCTTTGGACGGACACGCCGGATTCGTTGGAATGGAGGCCAAGAACAGCCTCGCGATTGGCGGAGGAGTGTCTCTCTCGGACCTCCAGACTGGGCGAATCGGATTCATGATGCTGAATGAAAGGGTTCAAAGGATTTCCCAGGGTGGTTCTCTGATCTCCAGGACATCTTATAGCGCCGGGAGATTCTCGCTCCTGAATATTGCTAAGATTTATACCGTCGGGTTGAATACCGTGACTTCTGGAGAACGACTTCTGTCGATCAGCCGACGACTGATCTATTTCGGTCTGCTTTGTGGCGCGACCCAGAAGAGCGTCGATGCAGAAAGACGTCTTGCCGATGGAATTGTTGTGCTGATTGGACGAGCTGAGGATGTAGTTTTGCGGCGAGGACGTTCTTCCGGGTGAGGTTTCCGGTTCGCGACAACGAGTTGTCGGTAATTCATCACTGAAACATTTCCTGGTGGAGTTTTCCGAGTCTTGAAAGAAACCGGGACCCGCGTGATCTTTCGTAAAACGTTTGCTACCAGCGTCTTCGTGATATCTGATTACTCTATCTTCCACGTCAGGCGATCTAGCACCCACGAAACGCACTTCCTCGAGTGATCTCACTCGGCTGTCCAGCGGAGATCTGGCGTCCTCCGATCTGGGCGACGATCCAGAATCTTGAAGTCTTTGTTGAAGATTGTAAAGGTGTCGCGGATGCTGATGCAAATCCTCTGAGACCATCTGCGCGTTGTAATGCATAGCTGCCATGTCATGCGGCCACTATAAATCTCTAACACATACTTCCTGATACGATTATGTCTTTGCAATGTCGACACTTCTTGAAATTTAATCGAATTTAAGCGTTTTGATGTCCACTTGATTTATTCGATATAATGCTTCTTGCTATCGGCACTAATTTAAATGAATTGTAGATCGAAATGTCTGAAAGATCAATGGCGATTGATCTTCAAAAGTGCATCAGGATAATTCTCAAAATCAACATTGATGCAAATTAATCTAAAACAAAGTCTTCATCTAACGCGGTGATTATGATTTTTTTCAATCGATTAAAAATGATCTGTCGTTGGTGGTGTACTTGCATAAGTCTCAGCGATGTTTTGCACAGTTTCAAAAGCCATCAAGTGTCACGCGGAAATCATTCAAGCGATCGGTAACCGATTCATGAATCAGCCATCCGCACTCGGCGATCAATAACCGCCCTCGCAACCAATCAATCGCGCGATTATACGAATATCACGATCTTTACACGAAGCCGACGACACGAGCGGGCGGCTCAGCGTCGCGTCGCAAAGTGACATCGCGAGTGACCGCGTGTCCACCGAAAAAGCTTCCCCCACTAGACAGAATCGCTGCAGCTGGTTTGACTACGCCCACCACGGGTCGGGCGTGTCCGAGTTACACCCAGAGATCCTTCGGCAGAAAGCGAGATAGAGCGAGGCATCTCCGTCGAATGCAACGAAAATAGCGATGCCACCCTAGACGGCAAGTTTCCCCCTCGACCAATCGGAAATCGCGCGCGAGGGTTCGTCGCGAGACAAAGACGCACAGAGGTTCGCCACGTGACCGTGCAAGTCGGAAAGAGAGACACATAGGCGTGAAGATGTGGCGAGGGTGCGAGCGGATAAACGGTTCCGCGCCGTCTTCTTCGGGATTCTTGATTCGTGTGACCGGATACCAAGACGGTATTGTAATCGATATTATCGAGTCATTAATTTAACCGTGACTCCAGTCGGATGGCCACCTACTGAGGCTGACTCGCAAAATTGTTCGATTGGAAGAAGGTGCCTACGTCGTCGGGGGACATTTCGTCTTCTCTGAGAGCATACTTTATAACATAATTTGCGATACAACGTATCCTGTGGGATTTTATTTTCTAGTTTGTTGTCGTTGAATTTATCTTGACGTCTTCTCCGATAATATTAAGAAAATAAAATAAATACTGATAAAATTATGTCAAAGGAAATTATCGGAGAATCTCATTAAATATATTTCTTTCTTGTCGATCTTCCTTCTTGGTTGAAATATTTTCTAAAAATTTAAGTAGAAATCGAAGATTGTAATGCGTGACTAACTTCCTTTTTTTGTTTTCACAAACTATTTGGTTATAATAATTTTGAAACATTGTTATTATTTGCGTTTGTCATATTTATTTGTGGTTTCGTTTACTGACTATAAAGTATACGAAGTAAAATTAAATCCAAACAGAAAATTTTTTAGTTACTCAAATATAATAATCTATTTCTTAACGTTGTAAGTCATCGGGATTAATTATAGCGCGCATCTGATTATCTAAAAAAAGTTTAATCGATGGTCAGAGATATGCGTATTAGTGGACATCCGTTCAGATAGCATGAACGTGCAATGAAGAATTGTATCAATAATACGTGTTGTGTTATCACGCACCTAATAGTCGCGTAATAGGCATCATACCCCGATGTGTGCGAGTAATCGTTTCCCTTATCGGCTGTTTCTCGTATCGCTTAAACACATTTCGTTATCAACAGGATACAAGAAATATTCTCTGATTCTGTTCACAATCTTACTCGATTAGTAATATGATTATACTTCAAAGAAAATCAGAGTAAATATTAACATATTTTAACACGAAATATGTTAATCGCTTTAGAGGAAAATTTAAAAATATCAAATATCCATCATTTTTTATGGCACATTATATTGCTATGTGTTATATATTTTTAATCTTCTAATTTGAGAAATATTATTTTTATTATTATTTTAAATGTTTAAAATTTTAACATGTACATTACACTCGTAGAAGATTATGAAAATTGTTTGATAATACAAAAGTTAATAATAATGCGATGTGGGAGTGTGTTGAAGACACTCATCATTTCGAAGACACTCGAGGCATCTAACAAACGAAAAATGATGGATCATCCGGTGTCATCCGCTTCGTGGTTCCATTTCGAACGCGGTGCCTGGAAGGTAAATGGTCCGCTCTCCTCGTTTGTCCGTATGTAGCCAAATAAGAGACGAAAGAGTGTTTGCTTAAGGGTTGAGGCACGTCCAGCACACTCACGGGATACTCGTTTTCACTCGCCTCTCGATACGTTTCTACGTACTCCCGTAGTAATGCTATCGCGCGCACCAATGTCGTGGACACGTTTATGCTGTTCGGCGGGGTATCTTTAATATGGCAGTGGTCTAACCCACTTTTTTTAAGAACTCGAGAAAATTGAAATTGAGAAAACATAAAATTTCCCAAGTCTTTTTTAATGAGTTAATCCACAGTTGCACTGAATTTTCCACTTTAGAAGTGCATTTAGAATCTTTTTGGCCGATAAAATATTAAATTATTTAAATTTTGGTTATTTTATTATATTTCTTATCTTATTTATTTTTATAAAGAATAATAAAAAAAACTTGAAAAAAAAGAAAACTGCAGAAATCCGAATAAAAATAATATTTTAACATATGCTTTTATATTTATTGCTTCAATATCCAATTCTAATTTTTAATAAAATAAATTTATATCTATTGCAAAATACATATACACACCACATATATTATCACCGCATATTATTTTACGTTGATACATTTCTTTTTTTATTTTTTCTATATTTTTTTAGCAATAAAACCCCGTTATTAATTCCATAAGAGATTATAGATTTACTGGGCAATAGCAATTTTAGAATGTGCTTTGAAATGTTTTTTTTATTATGATTTATTTTTATAACGAACAAATAGATTCTCTCTCTCTCTCTC